CACCACTGTGTTAGATATATCCTTCAAAAGATTTATCATAATTCTTTGAAAAATACCGGGACTGGAAGCCAAACCGTAAACTAGACGATTGTACATATAAAGCCCCCTATGTGTATTTATTACAGTGTACTTTTTTGACCCATCTAATTCTATTTGGTTGTAGGCCTGGGACAAGTCTAACTTACTGAACCAATTACAACCGCTAAGATTCGATAGATAGTAAATCTTCAATTTTGGGAACCGGAAATTTATCCACCAGTAAGACACGGTTTATGTGGTATATTATTTGTAGTTTAGTATCTCATATGTTTAGCTTTAGATATAGGGTAGACTCGAAAAACGATTGTAGGACGATTTCGGGCGGTGGCCGTCTCGCAATAAACGTGGAACAATTAAGAGTGTCTTATTTCGCAGTGGCGACGAGGAATTTTATCATAATAAAATATGGCAAACATGGGTAGAATCGGAGAATTCGATGTTTCAAATGGCAATTGGAGTTCATATTGTGAAAGGTTGGAAATGTATTTTTTGGTTAACGGCGTCAAGGAAGAATTAAAGTTACCTACGTTGATATCTGTGGTTGGCGAAAGTGGATATGAACTGATGACTAACCTGTGCAGCCCAATTAAACCCGCTAAAATGAAATACGACGATGTTGTAAGAATAATGAGCGATTATTTGCAACCAAAAGCGTCAATTCTAGCAGAGCGCTATAAGTTTCGCCAACGTAGGCAGAGTGAAAACGAAACAGTATCTCAGTTTGTAACGGATTTAAAACGTTTGGCAAAATCGTGCGAATTCAAAGACACTTTGGAAGAAAATATGAGAGATCAATTTGTGTGCGGTCTACGCAGTGATATGATGCGTCAACAACTTTTTGCTGAGGATTCTTTAACTTGTACGGGCGCAGTGAAATTAGCTACGTCAATGGAAGCAACCCAGCGTGACTCATCAAGTGGTAGATTGCACGGGCCGCGGCGCGAGCACCTCTGGTATCGCCATTGCGAACGAAAACTTAACAAGGGTAGTAAAACAGGAGCGTCAAAGGATGAGCACTGCAGACTATCAAGTGACCGAAGTGAATAGGGTGCAAATGAGTCCCTGTACAACGTGTGGCAGTTCCCGCCATATTTGGCGTCAATGTCCGTATCGTAACTACAAATGTGATATTTGTGGCAAAATTGGACATTTAAAACGGGTGTGCTCGCTCGGTGAGAGACATCAAAATAAAAGTACCAACAGGCGCGTGTGGACCTCGAGTACGGGATCAACTGGCATTCGCGGTTCAGCGCACGGCAGAGGCACTGGCTCCGGCGTGCGGCACTGGCAAGGCTCCGTGCATCATGAGCACGCCCACCACGTAGCTGAGGGGGAGAAGGATCCCTCCGCACCGGCATCGGCAAGCGAGGGGAAAGAAAACGAGCATCCCAAAAGCAATGCAAAAAAGCAGTCAACAATGTTCCAAATGTCTTTGAGGGACTACAAGCCGGTTAGCATTCCTATTATTGTTGACAATAATGTATTATTAATGGAGGTTGACACAGGCTCAGCATTATCTTGTATAAGTTATAATTTGTATATAGAAAAATTTAAACATTTGGCATTGTTACCCTGTAAATTAACACTTTCATTTTATGACGGCAGTAAAGTTCAGCCAGCCGGTTATATAGAGGCCCCAGTACAATACAACGGTAAATGTAAAATACTTGATTTGTATGTAATAGAAAATGGGACAACCATATTGTTGGGAAGGCAATGGTTAGCTGAATTGGGGATTGATGTACCAAAATTTCATGTAAACAGAATAAGTTGTACACAAAACTGTGATAAAATAGAAAGTTTAAACATGTTATTCGACAGATTTAAACACTTATTCGATGGCGGTTTGGGGCGGTTTAGCGGTGGGCAAGCAACGCTGCGCGTTCGGGCCGGCGCCACGCCGGTGTTCTGTCGCGCGCGGCCGGTGCCGTACGCGATGCGCGAGCGGGTCGATGCCGAGCTGGACGCCATGCTGCAGGCCGGAGTCATCGAGCCGGTTGACGCCTCCGATTGAGCCTCACCTTTGGTATTAGTAAATAAACCGGACGGGTCGCTTCGTATTTGCGCAGACTATAAGGTAAAACTAAATCTGTGTCTTAGCTGGTCTGCGTGTCGGTGATGTGAACTTCCATCGATGCCCAAAATTTCATAGTCAGTGCTACCTAGCCGCAAATGAACTTTTCCGTCCAACCATTTCTTACCCGTGCCGTAGTTACGGTATAAAATCTCATCCCCCCTCGTTAAAACACCGCTGTGACCCGCCTGCTGCCAACTGCTGGCGTCTTTGCGCTGCATTAACGCGATCTGCGCGCTCCGGTTTTAAACAATCGAGTCGCATCCGCAACGAACGGCCTTGTAATAATTTTGCCGGACTTTCTCCTGTAGTGCAATGTTCGGTATTTCTGTAAACTAATAGAAATCTAAGGAGAGCCGTGTCTACGTCTAAATTCTGAGAAAGGGCTTTCTTTACAACTTTTTCACAAGTTTAGAATTTAAACAGTTTTTGGAGAACAAAGGAATACAACACACGTTTTCTGCTCCATATCATCCTTCGTCCAACGGAGCGGCCGAAAATGCAGTTAAAACCTGTAAAAGCGGACAAACAGACGGACGGGTGGTTCCTCGTCGTTTCGGTGCCGGAGGATCATATCCCGACCCTGATGAAAGCCGGGCGCCGTCTCGCATGTGTATGTGGGGCGGTATACGTTAAATTCCAGGGTCGTAGAGGAAAATTCGTTGATTCCCCACCTAGCAAAGAGGCAGAAAAGAACCCGGAAGTCATGGATACCGTGGCCATGGTTGCCGGAACATCGAAATCACTGGATGTCAAGTCCAGTGAAAAAACTGCCTGCACAACCGAGCCGAAGCCCCCAGTGGAAACTGGGCTCAGCGGCAGCTCACTGAGCGACGAAGAGGACTGCATCTTGCCGTCCAATTCCGACTCGGTGGCTGACGATGAAACCCGAGATCTGCTGGCAGGCTTATTTTTAGGCGGGGACGGGGATGACGCGATCGATGATGGCGTGCCCTTCGTCCAAAACTAGCCTAGTGCAGGCCAAGCTCCACCACAGTGAGACAGCGTCGGCTCAATTACGCAAGTGGTTGGAGGCACAAAGGACGGCCATAGCCCTAATCCAAGAGCCATGGGTTGGGGCCGGTAAAATTAAAGGCCTAAACAACCTAAGAGGTGAGTTATTCTACAACTCTGAGCACGACAAGCCTAGAGCGTGTATTTATACTACTAAAGATATCTGTGCAAAACCACTAACAGATTTCTGTTCCAGAGACATGTATGCCGTAGCATTACAAAACACACAGGAGGAAAGGTTAGTCGTCGCCTCGGTCTACATGCCTGAGGAAGACACCCCTCCCCCCTCACGACCTCGTCAGGCTGGTGAATTTCTGTGAGAGGGCCGGACTAGAGGTTGTGATCGGGACGGACTCCAACGCGCATCATCCCCTTTGGGGAATGGAAAAACCTAATGAACGAGGTAAGGTTTTAGTTGAATATTTATTTAGCACTAACCTAACCATATTAAACACTGGTTCTGAACCAACCTTCATAAATAAACGCTGTCGCACAATAATCGACCTCACACTTGCAACAGAAGGAGCAGCTAAGCTAATAACGGGATGGCATGTGTAAAAAGAGGCCTCATGCTCAGACCACAGATGGATCTGCTGCGTACTACAGGTCGATATCCCCGCTATACCACCATGGAGAAATCCCCGCAAGACGGATAAAACAAAATACCTCAATAGGCTGACGTCTTCGCTCGCGGGTGTTGGGGGAACTAATACCATAGCAGATCAATCGCTCCTAGAAGAACAGGTAGCAGCTGTCACTAAAGCCATGATCGATAGCTACCATGAATCATGTCCAGTAACCACTCCACCAAAACATGCTGAGCAAAAGCAACAGTGGTGGGGTAAAGAACTAGAACTACAGGAAACGTAAGAAGGTAAGAAAAGCCCTAAATAGGGCAATGAATACCTCAAAGGATGAAGACTGGCTTCTATATAAGAAAGCTAAGTCTGAATACAAAAAATGTATCAGGTATCGACGCTCAACAGGGTGGCGCAAATTCTGTGGTAGCATAGAAACCTGTGAACAAGCAAATCGGATAAGGAAAATCCTAGCTAAACAGAACACGCCGGGATCTATCTCTTTAAAGAAACCCGACGGAAGCTACTCAACATCGCCGGATGAAACCCAACGCATCCTAATTGATACTCACTTCCCAGGTTGCTGTGTAGTTGAAAGGGTGAACCGGCATGAAGATGCACTGACACCAACAAAAGAAGACTGGGAATTAGCACAAAGAGTGGTGACGATGGACAAAATCCATTGGGCCATTCATAGTTTCCAACCCTATAAGGCAGCAGGACCTGACGGCTTATTCCCGGCACTTCTTCAGTGGGGGGGGGGTAAAGTCCTAATAGTCAGACTTGTTGCCATAATGAGAGCATGTCTGGCTCTTAAATATGTTCCTAGGGGATGGAGGGAAGTGAAAGTCACGTTCATACCCAAACCAGGTAAGAACGACTATACAGACCTTAAATCCTACAGGCCTATTAGCCTCACATCCTTTCTCCTAAAGACGATGGAGAGGATGTGTGAACGGGAGTTGAGAGGGTCGGCGCTAATTAACTTACCGCTACACGAAAAACAACACGCCTATAGCTTAGATAAATCAACAGAATCGGCACTTCACCAGGTAATAACAAAGATTGAAGAGGCCATCCAAAACAAAGCAATATGTCTAGGCTCCTTCATAGACATAGAAGGTGCTTTTGACAGAACAAATTTCTCCAGCATAAAAGGTGCCCTAAGTAGACATAATGTTGAACCGGCACTGATTGACTGGATAGTAAACATGCTCAGTACACGAACAATAAAGATTGCTGGTGAATCTCAGACAATTCAGATCATGAAAGGATGCCCGCAGGGTGGGGTTCTTTCACCTCTCCTGTGGAATATGGTCATTAATGAGCTCATCAGCAAATTAAACGCTAATCATTTCTACACAGTCGGTTATGCAGATGATCTGACAATACTGGTCTCTGGTAAGTCAGCAGGCATTGTGTGCGACCTGACCCAAGCGGCTCTCCGTATTGTGGAGAGATGGTGCAGGGAATATGACCTAACCGTTAATCCAAATAAAACGGTTATAGTAATGTTCACACAAAAACGAATGCTGAATAACTATCATCTTCCAAGTCTTTTCAGCACAAAATTCCAACTTTCTTCCGAGGTAAAATACCTAGGTCTTACCTTGGACAGTAAACTTAACTGGAACAAACACATAGAAAACAAAATCAGCAAAGCTAGTTTAACTTTCTGGCAGTGCAGAAACATGATTGGCAAACGATGGGGTTTAACGCCAAAAATTATACTGTGGCTGTACAAAACTGTAATTCGGCCCATGATCACATACGGCTCTCTGGTATGGTGGACCAAAACCAATGAAGCCACCACTATACAAAAGCTACAGCGTTACCAGAGATTAGCTTGTATGGTTGCCACGGGCTGCATAAGGACAACACCAACAGCAGCTTTGGAGGCTATGCTGGAGCTAACACCGCTTCATCTACATATACAACAAGAAGCAACTTTAGCTGCCATTAGACTCAAGACCCTAAATCTTTTAAGTAAGAGTAGAGTCTCCCATACAGATATAATCGATAGATAGATAAATGTTTACACGTTTCAAATGTGTTAAAAGTGTTTACAATATTTATCAAATGGGTGACGACATATTCGAACACTTTGTGTTCAAAAACACACACTTCCAAAAATCGAGATTTGCAGTGAACTTATTGAACATGTTTATCTATTAGGTAATAATAATAATAGTAAGTAATTATTATAAACCCATATAGTTAATATTATAATAATTACTTACTAGAATTAATTATTATGGTATCTACCTATCCTTACCATTATCTAATTACAATATTCCTTGCGAGATCAGCGTAATGTATTCGTGTCCATTCTGAGCACCCGGAAACTTATTTTATTCTTTGGAACATGTACTCTGTGGCGGCAAACATTGTCGAATGTAGTGGGTGCGGCGCGGCGGCGACGATTGAATGCGATATCAATAGAAGCCGCCGGCGCGTGTATCTTGACCTTGTACTTCGGAATAGCTGCAAAATTTCTTTGACAGATCAGTATTCGACCTTTGATGATGCCGACAACAAGACGCCGCGCACTATCAAAGTGCCGATGGTCAAAACTAGGGATGCACTGTTTTTTCTTTTAATGGATATTTTCATCCGCTATGTATGTTTATGGTATTGTTCGTAATGCGCATAAGTCCAATTTTCCAAATTTTTTTTATATATTTTTTGCGTCTCATAGAGTCCCTAATATACGTATCCGGTACTCCGGTCCCTAATATGCGTATACCCGAACTCCTATACTCCCTGAAACGACACTCATTCCTAACTGCAAGACGCAAGAGTCTCGCAGGCTTAGTCTTGTTCTTGCTCAAATCTTGCACGGTCAGTCTTGGTCTTGCTCTTGCTAAAATTAGGCGGTCTTGTTCTTGGTTTTGGTCTTCCGAAAATGCAAGAACAAGACCAAGACTGCAAGACCAAGACCGATTTTGGGCAACACTACTTCTCACAGGTATCGAGTAAGCTATTTAAATCATTGTCACCTAGGATGACGTCATCAACGAAAAAATCCTCTCGGATTACTCTCGGAACCTGCTGATCCTTACATTCCAGCGCAAGCTGACGTAAACATCTCATACTAAGGTATGGCGCAGACGCGATGCCATACGTCACGGTGTTTAGGCGATATACACATATTGGGTCCGACGGAAGTTTACGCCATAATATCAATTGTAAATCTCGTTGATCTGGTTGTACAAGAAAATTCCAAAACATTTTCTCAACGTCCGCACAACCCACGTATTTATATTGCCTAAAGCGTAGTAAAATGCTAAAAATGACATTCTGAAGTGGTGGATCAATATGTTGAATATCGTTCAACGACTTACCGGACGACGTCGCTGCGCTTGCATCGAAAACAGTGCGCAGTTTAGTCGTACTGCTATTTTCATTAATAACGCCGTGATGCGGCAAAAATGGTGGGGTGACTCATAAGTTTCAATTCAACGCAACTCATATGACCGAGCCTTTCATATTCTCCCATAAAATCTACGTATTTTTTCCCTAAATTGTGGCGAACGAGCGAATTTTCGTTCTAACGACAAAAACGTTTTTCAGCCGCTGTGTAACTGTCTCCGAGCACATCAGCTGATTCCTTTAAAGGAATGCGTACGGAAAACCTACCATCTTCCATACGATTTGTCGTTTTGACAAAAATGTCTTCGCACGCACGGTCGTCAGCACTAAGGATGTTTTTATTAACGTTATTGTTTATCTCTTCGAGATCCCAAAACAATTTCAACTGTGTGTCAATTGTTTGGGAGAAATTACATTACACACTCTTAACGGGAAGTGGGTTATTATGTAAAGGTCCCGACATTATCCAACCCAATTTTGTATTTTGTAAATAAGGTCCTTTATTCAACTTAATTTTGCCATCACACAATAATTCCCAGAACTTATCCGCGCGTATCAGTATATTGATGTCTGACGGTGAGTGAAAGTTCGGATCCGCAAGTTGAATGTTATCAGGTAAACTCATATTATTTACATCGACACTAAATGTGGGTAATTGATTTGTAATGCACGGCAACACTAAACAATCAACGTTCATACAAAACGAATTTAACCTTGAACGTAATTTTATTTTACAAATGTGGGTGGACTGCGAAATTGTTTGACCTACCCCAGCAACGTGATAAGTGGACTGTATTAACGGTGCATTTAATTGATATTAAATGCACCGTTAATACAGAATTATCATTTCAAATCATTATTATCAATCAGAATGCGTACAGTGTGATATTTGTTATTATAATCTGCTATGTCCACTAACGCTGTGGACAGCAAAACGTTGGGTAATGACGAATATTCCTGATTACTGTTTTGCGATTCTGAATGGTTAGCCGTAACGTGTAATGATGACGAGACAGTGGAGACGTTAGCGGTGATCGGCTGTGCTGATGCACTCGACCCGCTCACCTGTGATGCGCCGTCTACCTGCCCATCAATGTGAAGCAAACTGTTGTGCCTTTTATCACAGAACCTACATGGCCCAAACTTGCATTCGTCAAGTTGGTGGGTTGCGCGAAACAATTGATGCACAGCTGATGCGTTTTAACTACGAGGGTGGATTGAAAAGTACTCGGCCTAACCAAGAAAATAAACACATACTAAATCAGTTATATTTTTATTTTTCTACATAATCACCATCAAGTTCAATACACTTTTGCCACCTCCCCTTCCAAGCATTTAGACCGTTGAAAAAAATGATTCTTCCTTAGAGTCAAAATATGCGTCTACAGCTGCTTTGACCTCGTCGTTTGTCGAAAATCTTTGACCTCCCAAGTGCTTTTTTAGGTTAGGGAACAGAAAGAAGTCTGATGGTGCCAGATCAGGTGAATACGGCGGATGCGGTAACAGTTCAAAGCCACAGTTGTGAATTTCAGCCATTGACTGTACTGACGTGTGAACACGGGCGTTATCTTGATGAAACAGGTCTTTTCTTCTGAGCATTCCTCGACGTTTTTCTTTTATTTCCTCTCGTAAACGACGTAGTAAGGTGCAGTAGTAATCAGAGTTTATAGTCTGACCCCTTTCAAGATAATCAATCATAATCACACCTTTCGAGTCCCAGAATACTGAAGCCATCACCTTATTTGCCGACAAAATCGACTTAGCCTTTTTTAGGGGGTGGTGAACCAGGTCTTCTCCACTGTTTTGATGGTTGTTTTGTTTCCGGTGTACAGTAATGAACCCGTTTTTCGTCCATAGTAACAAAAAAGATTCAAAAAATCATCTGCATCGGCTTCAAATAACTCCAAACAGTCGCGTGAAATAGTCAATCGCGTCCTTTTTTGTTCAACTGAAAGCAGTCGCGGAACCCACCTCGCAGACACCTTGTGGAAACCCAACTCGTTGACAATGATGTTTTGAGTTCATTCATAAGAGATGCCTATAATCTCGGCTATCTCTCTAATTTTTAATCTGCGGTCTCCCATTATTAAATCAAGTACTTTTTTAATATTTTCGTCAGTAGTTGACGTCGAAGGCCTTCCAGAGCGGGGTTCATCTTTCACACTCTCTCTACCACGCTTAAATTCTGCTATCCATTTTTTGACGGATGAATATGTCAGAGCACAATCGCCTAATGTACTGACCATGTCATCATGGATGGCTTTTGATGATAGCCCCTTCTTATGGAGGTACTTAATGACGGCACGCTGCTCGATTTGCTCCATTCGCGGAAATTATGTACGATTACTTTGTTAATAAATTTATAAAATCACAACTAATTATCGCACACGTTTCGAACTTCACACAATGAACTAGTCTGAACTGAACTAAATAATGTGGGTAGATTTGATTTTTAGAATTGAATGGATCTGTGTTAGGCCGAGTACTTTTCAATCCACCTAGGTATCTTATTTCTTTCTTGGATAGACGAATTAAGAAACCTTGAACAGGAATAAATCGCGTGATTACCATGACACATCACACACACGCGGCTTTGTTTTAGTTTCGTATTACCCTTATTGTTATTGTTAGTAACGTTCGTAGCAATATGAGTATGTGTATATTGTTTCTTAGAGCGCGTTTGTTCGCCGCCTTTGTTCTCGTGGGATTTGTTATGGTTCACTTTTATCATTTCTAAAACGTCGGCGCGGTCCTTGAGAAATTTAAGTAAGTCATCCAGTTTCAAAGCTGACCTTGATTCAATTAACGAACTAGCTGTACCTTGAAAATCTTCCCATTCGCGTTCAGTGGCCTGATCTAATTTGGAAACGACCATGTAAATGATTAAAGTGTCCTATGAATCTGTTGGTTCACCTAATGTTTTAAGGGCACGAAAATTTCTCAAAACAATATGTATTAAGTTCCTAATCTGGGAAGAGAACTCTTTATTTAACGATGGAATTTTAAAAAATGCCTTCACATGATTATGAATTTATGAACCAATAGTCGCGGATTATTAAATCTATTCTCTAATAGCTCCCATGCGTGAGAATAGTTGTTAGTCGTAAATTCTAATGCACCTATGACGTGTGCCGCGGTACCGGACAATGACGATTTTAAATAATGAAATTTTTGAACAGGACCTAAATCATCGCGATCATGAATCATACTAATGTAAGAATTTTTAAACTCTAGCCAGCAATCATATGAACCGTCAAAGGAAGGTATTTTAATATCGGGTAACTTTATGCCTATCGGCTTACATGTTGAAACACTAGACTTGTCAGCTACTTCCTTTCTCAATAAAAGTTTTGCAGAAGCTACAGCACCATAAAATTGATCTTCGAAACGATCTCTCTCTTCCAGCTGTTTTACAAGATCGAGATCTTCCGCTACCTCTTCTTCAATTTTAGTCTGTATTTCACTATACATCTCTATCAAACTCTAAGTACTCTCGACACGTAAATTTAATTCTAATGACTGTTTTTCAGTCAAGGGTAAAGTGAACTTTTTAACATAATTTTCAAACAGAGTTAATCGACCTTTCAAAACTCCTCTTTTCTTAATTAAATCTGACAATTTGGGCGCACTCATTTTGGGAATTAAGGAAATCAAGAGTACTTACAGTTGCCAATTTGTAGATGCGTGCAAACCAAGGTGGGTGCTGTTGTGCAGGTAGGTACCGCCACCTGAGCACTGCCACTCCTGTTGGTTGATGCCTTAACGTTCCAGCTCTTCGCTCGATACGTGAATCTCCTCTTCGTATTTTGATGCGACGAATCTTCGGAGATTTCAAGCTTGAACTCCTTATTCGGCTCGATAGAACCACTTTATGTACAGGAACGGGAGGCAGGTGCTCTTCAATGATTGATTTATTGAACTTTTTGCTGGTTATATTTAAATCGTCTTATTTCTAACAGTGTGTATCAGGTAATAATCAAAATTTAAAACAGACAGATCTTATAACTAATTGCACGACGTGCTGTGATTGGTTGCCAACAATGACGAGCTCTGATTCGTAGATAAAAGTTTGGTGTTCCGGTGCGTCGCTAGACGGCGTTAGTAGTCGCGCCAACAAATCAAAAGGGTGGCAAAAGCTGACTCATATTGGTCACAAGTTGGATTAATATTACGCCTTCCATGGCGTTTAACCAATCTAAAGAAATTTTCCAGTGGGTCCTGATTTAGATGACGCAACCAAACTGATGTAATGCCAAAATCAATTTCAATTTTTTTTAATAAAACTTCCATCCCTTCTAGTGTCCACACCCAATTGTTTACAGTTGGAATAAATTCTACCAGTGGAAGATAAACATCATAGACGCAAAAACTTTTTTGGCATCCATACATGTTTTGTGATGTATGGAGTGAGCTATTGCAGGTCCAAGTAGAGTTTTGGCATCTTTTCTTTTAAAAACTGCCATTAACTGAGTCGAAAATATTATCCATAAAAGCACCAGATCAGCATATTCGTACTCTTCTCGAAGGATACTCTTTGTCTTTTTCTTGTCTGCCAATACTCCTCCTTAAAATTAGAAATTAAAAAAAATATCAACCAGTTTTGTTTAAAATAGGAAAAAAAGAAACAATTATTGCAACACGCCACAAACATCATTAAGTATTTATTAGTTGGTTGGTGGTTGCGAATTGACTTTCCTGAATCTAATAATTTTAAATTTATTGACCAATAATTTAATGTAAATTTTGGTACCTATCTAAATTCTTTAAATTTGTTATTTTACATTCATGCACAAAATAGTTCATAGGCGCACGTAATGCCATAGGGCATTCTATTCTATCAGTCAACTATTAAGCTAAACAGAGGAACATATAAGAGGTGGTGGAGCAATAATCAAAATAGAAAGGGCTTTTTTACAGAATAGGGTGACAAACGAGCACACAGTCCACCTGATGGTAAGTCTAGTCTAGTTTCTACACTCACCATACGAAACAGTAGCATTAAGCTAATTTACGCTGGTATTCTGTGAGAGCGTGGTCCTTCCCCAGTTGAGCCGATCCATTCGTGCTACAACTATACTACTGATATAACTGCAGCATGGCTCTACCACGTAAAAAAGGGCTGATAAAATACTAACAATGATATTATCATTACTAATATTCCCCCTTAACCACCAGCTTAAAATGCTTGTGCTAGGAATGGTTCACGAGAGTAGTCGAATGGCGGATTCGATTTCACGACCTTTTGAGTTAGCGGCCCGTACCATGCGCTACTTTTTCTTGGATTCTTCATACAAGACAAAGTAGCGCATCTGTCATAATACAAACGTCATAACACGACGTAACCAGGGTCGGATTTCGTAGTATAATTATCCTATTTATACCATTATTTCATAATGTGCAGTATGCAGTATCTTAATAATACTAGGCAAATTGCAATTCGTCATCGCACATGTGTAAACATTGTTTATAAGTCTCCTCCTATCCATTTTTACCAGAAGCTTGATGACGGCAGCAGCTTCTCTCAGTTTGTGTGTTGAAATGAAAACACAATTTTAAAACATTTTCTATGTCAGAACAAATATAAAATATATATCATATTATCAAATATAAATAGTTATCATCTCTCAATCAAAAGAAATCATACCTAAAAACATTTCAGCCCTTTTCTTTATAACTACAGGATTAGTTGATATCACAGGATCTTGCATTGGAGTAACTGGATCTGAAACATTAGTTAAATTTCAGCAACATGCTTCACTTCTATAATTATTTCTTTGCTACTTTTATATTATTGTAATACTTTTAGCCATGATTTTACACAGGCGTTTGTGACAAATGAGCACACAATCAAACTGATGGTAATTTGATGCTGTACCTATAGATATCTACATTTAAATTCAATTAAAAATTTAAATGCAGATGCGTTGTCAGTTGTCACCCCTTTTTTTTTTTATTTTTTTTTTGCGCATGGAATATCATCTAATGACCCCTTTCGCTCTGGGTGGAGCGTAAGGGAGTGTCAGATTTTTACTGACTAAAAACCATCCGTGTTGCTTCAGTGCCCTTACGTTCCGGAGCCGCGGTATCTCTTTCGAACAGCCCGCAGCCCCGGCAGGCGTCGGCCCTTGCGGGCCCCTTCACGCTGCTGACAGCTCTTTGAGGCGCGCGTGGAACAAAAAACGCGCCGTCGACACGGCCTGTCGTCATTAGACGGACGGACGACGAGCTACCCATTGCTCGCCGTCCACAGGCCCGCGCCTACGGTGGCCGGGGGCCACGACGTAGCCCCCGACGCCCGGGGCGTCTCCCGCGGTGGCCGGGGAGGAAAGCTGCTGCTCTCTCCTTCTCCCGCTCCGCCACCTCCTTCGCCAGCATCACTGCTTCGCAGAAGGTGGTGACGGCATCCCATTCCGTCTCGCTCCGGACCATGGCTTCGACCAGGGCCGGACGCAGAGGTCGCCGCCGCCTATCGCCGCTACGAGGACCCGGCGGTGCTCCGCCCAAGCAGGGCACACCTCCACGGTGTGTTCCACCGTGTCCTCCGGTCCATCCTCGCAGTGGGAGCACCCGGGCGTTTCCTCCCGCCCGATTCGGTGCAGGAACCTCCCAAACACACCGTGTCCGGTGAGGACCTGCGTCAGGCGGAAGGTGAGGATGCCGTGGCGTCTCTCAAGCCACTCCTCAAAGAGGGGTCTTATCGCCGCTCAGTTGTCACCCCTGAAGACTACGATAGAATACCTCATTTCCAGTAAAACCTAAACACCATACAAAACTCACCCGCACTAAGCAGCGTGGCTCTACCACATATAGGTTATAAGAACTTCATTAAAAACATAGAATTATAATTACAATCATAGAAACACATTAAATATACAGAGTAATTCAAAATTTTTGCATTATAAAAAAGTTTATATCTTATGTTCAATAAATTGAAACTGTTAAAAAATGGCATCATAAGTCAGACTAACCAAGATTTTCTTTGTGAGAAGTATTTCCTACCATTTTTGTGTATGAAATGAAATTCATAAATTAATATCAAAAGAAGAAAAGGAAAGATTTAAAGAAATAACCAAAATAAATATATCACTGTAAACCTTCAATCCACTGAGAAACACCCATTTCTCCTAACCAGGAGAAATGGGTGTTTCTCAGTGGATTGAAGTGTAGATCCCACGATAATGTAGTGTTAAGTTTAGTATGTTTCCTCTCATTACCATCTTTACCAACATTACACGGCGACCCTGCCAGACAATGCGCTGCGACAATGCAAGTGCACTGTCGCAGTATGAATAATTATTAAACTGTTAAATAAAAAAAAAGAATTTAACTGTAAATGACACAATTATACCGGATATGATGAAAAGGAAAATTAAATGCGCATATAAATATGGCCTTTTCTTAAATATTTAATATTACATACTTTTTGAGGAAAATGCTGCGGGGATTGCAATTTGTATTTGGATCTGTCTGTTGGAATGTTAATTATCTGGGGGCACGGCAGTGCCAAGTGCCGCCAAGTCGAGCAAAAAAGCGGCACGGCCGTACCATACTTTTCTCGAAGTGATTCAGGCCATTTTCGACCCCCTATATTCATTATTTATTTAATTCAAAAACTCTTGTGGCTTACAGAAAATCCAACACGCACACAATGTTTAATTTTACATGCAAAAAATATTAAAAAAATTCATCCAATTATAACAAACGAATTAATAGTTATCACTTATAAATTACTTACTGATTACAAATAACAATCGTAAATTAAACAATTATGCAATATTAGTGTTAAAAAATATTAAAAAAATTCATCCAATTATAACAAACGAATTAATAGTTATCACTTATAAATTACTTACTGATTACAAATAACAATCGTAAATTAAACAATTATGCAATATTAGTGTTATAAGCCTTTAGCAGCGCGTGTTGAAAAATTAAAATATGAAAATAAAATATTAAAATATGAATATAAAAAGAAAAAGGTCGCAATCATACCATGTCAGGCTATGAAATATTTTGTCATATTGTGTCTATAACTTCGTAGTGGATAAAACTAGCAAGAAGCCCGAATTTTCAGTAACCAAGTAGGCATTGTATAAACATGGTATATTTCAAATTTCATTCAATTTGAACCAGTAGTTTAAGAATTATAACTAGTCAAAATTTCTTAATTTTGTCACTCACTGACTAACCGATCATCAAAACTCTAAGGCACTTCTAGCAGATATAGAAGCTTAAAATTTAGAACACAATTAGAGTTTAGTGTATAAATCAAGGAAAAACTAAAATATTTTTAAATTTCGGTCCAGTTTTCTAGATACACCAACTGCATAAATAACTTTGTAATCCGATATAAATATATAGAATTACAAGGTTACATTTGCAATGAATGGATCAGTGTTCTTTTATATGTATAATAGGTGTAGATAGGTACGTTGTTGGTATACAAGAAGTAGAAGGTACCGGAAAGAAAAACAACTAGGACTATCTTGTCTACAAAAAGGAATGAGATGCCATCAAACCATAACTTGTATAGAAACCAAGTCTCGCAACTCAGTTCTTCTACCGTAAAAAGTTGCGAGATCCATGTAATACCAAGTCTATTAATTTATTCAGTCCCTACTTAAGGGTCCTTCTGTTTCATTAAGCAATGTAATTTAATATAATATGTATTACTTGTGAGATACGTTGCATTTTCATGCGATGGCCAAGTCAATCTATATATTTAAAACATAAAAGATTTTTAACATTGGTATGGTCACTATAAAATGTTGTTAGGTTAGCTAATTTCATAATAACTTAAAACAGAAGGACCTTTAACTAGGGACTGAGTAAATTAAGTGGTGTTATAAATGGAACATATTGTAACGCTCCCCCCCCTGTCATAAATAATAAATATATTAGATATAATTAATTTAACCCTTTTCAATAAAATTATATATATGTCACCAGGATAAATAAGATATGTTTTGATCTTTCTTAATGATCTTTCAAAAGGTTTATTAATAGGCCGTTTGTAATATTTTGGCGTGATCGTCTTAGTTAGGACCCATATTTACGTTGTGTTTGTTTAGTAACTTAGTTCTTTTAGGTGTCTTTTGGAAGAATGAATATTCACTAGAGCAATTGAAAGCTGTTGGTAGTGCCTTATAAGCTAAGTGAACCCCGTTCACGAAGAAAGGGCTCGAGAAAGGTTTAAAACATGAAACATCCCTATTCCACTTGTATCAGGTTTACATTATTAATTTATTATTATTTATCCCTTCCCGCTCGGAAAAGGCTCAAAATATATTTATACAAAATACCCGATACAAGGGCTTCGCTCTCCTACATTTATTTAAAAAAATGTAGGGGAGGCACACGGCCCACACACGCCGTGCACGGTGAGCGCCAACCATTTTGATGCACTCCCCCCGAAGGGAACGATAATTCGGGAACTGGACCGTAGTCCACAGCAAAATAACTGGAGAACCAGTAAAAGAGGCTTGTACGTCACACGGTTTAGGCAAATAGGCACACTGGCCGTAAGCCCTCCGCGAGCGCCACCACCTGCCAGACCGCCGCTTCTGCAGACGTGATGTAAGTGTATGGCATCACCGCCAATTGCATGATCAGCACGGCTACTAGCCGCAGAGCGTGTCATGAGTCTACTGCTCACCTCAAGGGAATGGGGTCCCACGTTGTGCGGCTTTCGGCCGTAGCCTTGAGAGTCTCCTCAGATCCTCCCGCCAGCTACCACCCGCATGAGGTCGACACATATGCTCCACCAACCAATACAACGGCAGATATAGCCAAAAGGCAGTTATAAGATCATCATCATCATTCATCATTACAGCCCTTCACAAGTCCACTGCTGAACATAGGCCTCCCCCAAGTAATGCCACAAAGCACGGTCCTGAGCCACCTGCATCCATCGACTTCCTGCATGTCTTACCAGGTCGTCACTCCATCTAGTGGGGGGTCACCCTACACTACGCCTACCGGTACGAGGCTGCCACTCGAGAACCTTTCTTCCCCATCGGTTATCGGTTCTTCGAGCTATATGGCCGGCCCATTGCCACTTCAGCTTACTAATCCGTTGGGCTATGTCGGGCACTCTGGTTTTACTGCGGATATCCTCATTTCTGAGTCTATCACGCAGAGAAACTCCGAGCATAGCCCTCTCCATAGCTCGCTGAGCGACCTTAAGCGTCCTCATACGGCCAGCAGTGAAGGACCACGTCTCAGATCCGTAAGTCATCACTGGCAACACGCACTGGTTGTACAATCTAGTTTTTAGAGATTGAGGTATACCTGACGAAAAGATATGCCGTAATTTCCCGAACGCTGCCCAGCCGAGTTGAATCCGTCGATTGACCTCTCGGTCGAAGTTGGACTTACCTAGTCGGACTATTTGTCCCAGGTAAACGTATTCGTCAACAACTTCGAGCATAGTGCTCCCAACAACTACCGGCATAGGTGTGACATGGACATTGAACATGATCTTTGTTTTGTCCATGTTCATCTTAAGACCTATCCGTTGGGAGGCACTATTGAGGTCATTGAGCATAGTGCTTAAGTCCTCCAGCGATTCTGCCATAAGGACTATATCGTCGGCAAATCGAAGGTGAGTGATGTACTCGCCATTGATGTCAATACCGTATCCTTTCCAGTCCAGTAGCTTGAAAACGTCTTCCAATGCAGCGGTGAAGAGTTTCGGGGATATAACGTCACCCTGTCTTACAC